AGTGACTGGTTATCGGTACTGATTTGACAGTCTCTTGTCAAGCAGATGAGTGTTTCTTAAGGCCCACTGCCGCTTTTCATATTCTTCTCTTAAAACCCACATTTTTTAAGGTCTGCAAACATTTTCCACAGTCAACAACTTGAAAGGCATGGAAGTTTCTTGCTTACCAGGGGCCAAGGGGGAATTTTAGAATCTTTTGGGTAAATGAATGTTTAACATCCCCTGAAAGCTGCTGGAGAGTGGGAAACCTAGGACTGTCACAAAAGAACCAGCCTCTGCGTTGCCTCTGCCGACCGGGGCTGCGGAGGGCAGCCACCCAGGGCTCAGCCACTGGCAGGAGTGGAGGAAGCACAGCTCCAAAGGTTACAGAATTGCAGTCCTGGATCTGGGTCCCTGCCAACTCCTGGAGAGTGAGCGAGGGGCCGTCGGGCTGTGAATGCACTGTCTCTGGCAGTGGATGCCTGGGAGAAAATCCAAGAAACGCCCACAGGTGTGGAGGGGCAGGCCACCCCTTCAGTGGATGATTTCCTCATTCCTTCTACGATAAAAACTCAAATGCCTCTCAGGCCCCTGATGGTCTACAGGCAGGGTGACGTAATCCCAACGAGGGTAAGAAAATTATTCCTGCTTTTCTCCAGGTTATAACTGGTGTTTATGTAGTCTTGTCTGCTTTAATCTTCTTTTCTCAAAGTCTAGTGGAACACCTGTTTAACAACTTCCTGCGCACCCATCACTCAGACAAAAACACAGCTTTCCAAGAATAACGGAGAGCCACCTCCGCAGCCAGACCTGGGGTCGGATCAAAACAAAAACACAGAGTTCCAAGAACAACGGAGAGCCACCTCCGCGGCCAGACCTGGGGTCGGATAGCACGAAGAGCTGGAATTTGGGGAACCACTTAAGGTTGGATACATTTGGAAGGAACAGTCACACAAGATAAAATAAATATTTAGCTAAGCTTTCAGATTCTGGAACTGTCAACTAATAGAACTAAAAGTCTACGACCTCTGAAAGTATAAATCCAAAAAGCATTTAAAAAATGTCAATTTTAGGAAAGGGAAACTGCAAAGCCAAAGCAGCAGAAGAACTTGTTTCTAAATCATCTGTTTTCCCGCATATCTGCTGCCATCCCCACCCTCTGCCCCACACGCCCTTCAAGTGACCAACTCCTTACTGAGGCGACAGGCAGTGCTTTCATGATTCTTACCTTAACTATGCTGATAGGCTTTCGAGATAAGTGAAAACTTGCATACAGCAGAAATGTCAAAATAAAAATGAAGGCTCTGTACCTGAAACACAAAACAGTGGGAGAGGATGACATGAAATAACAGAAGTTATGTTAGGAATACATGTCACTGTGTTCTGAAATGTTCTTATGCTGTGTATTATTCATTCAGTTCCACAGCAACTATCAATATTACTTATGTCACTATAATATTGGAACATTCAAAAATGTTGCCACTTTTGCTTTGTCCACATGGAAACTAAACACCGTAAGAGACAGGAAAAACCAGACTGCTTTTCCTACCCTCATGCACACCACACCACACTTCTCACACTATATGTGTAGGGGTTTGCCCCATATACAAAGCAATTCTCCAGCTGACACTAGGTGTCCTCTAACTGAATTCAATTCTGACGCTGTCCTTCAGGAGTCAGCATCAGCCCCCACAGGGCGGGGCTCCGGCTGAGGCTGCCCCGGCTCACATGCCAACGGCAAGCCCCAGATTGTGGCCCGCTCCTCCGACCAACTGGCTCTCAGCATGGTTCCCAAGAACCCCTCCTCAGGTTTGATTAATTTGCCAGAGCAGCTCACAGGACTCAGGGAGACACATTTATTGGTTTTTATAAAGGATGTCACAAAGAATACACACAGATGAAGAGACGCACAGGGCGAGGGATGGGGCAGGCAGCTTGGAGCTGCTGTGCCCTCCCCAGGACTCCACCCTCCGGGAACCTCCCCGTGCTCGGCAGCCTGCAAGCCCCCCAAACCCTGTCCTTGAGGAAGTCTGTAGAGGCCTCATTACACAGGCACGATCCAGCAGATCACCGGCCACCGGTGATCCACTCCACCTCTGCGGGCTCCCTCCCCTCCCCAGAGGTCCACAGGTGGAGTTCCAACCTCTAATCACGTGATCGGTTGCCCTGGCAACCCGTCCCCCAAGAGGCTGTCCTGGAGCCCCAGCCATAGTCACCTCATTAGCAAACAAAAAGATACTCAGCACTCAGGAGCTGTGTGCTACGAGCCAGGGCCAGAGACCAAACGCATGTTTCTTATTACGTCACAACATCAAAAACATTCATTTATTTTAAAAAACCATAACCAAAGGGAAACCTGGGACTCAAGATGCACACTTGAGTTTACAAAGCAATAACAAGGACGATGAAATGTTTAGTTTACAACAAAACTAACCACAAGTTTCTTGCGTAGCCTGCTATCCTGGGCAATTAAGATCATATTTATTTTTAGCTCTTTGGTTTCTATGCAACTTTTCAGAAGCACACAAGCAAGGCAGACATATAAATATTTCACAGCCCTCAAAGAGAAAAAGTCAGTGACGCTGGCAGGCTCTCAATAGGCCAATGACAGAAACACTGGCACAAAGCCCCTCGCTCAGTTTGGCTGGGAGAAAAGCAGCCAAAAGAGTAAGCATGAGTGTGAGGAAGAAAGAAGAAAAGAAGGTGCCTTAGAGAGAAGACAAAGGGCAACTTCAGTCTAAGAGTCTCAACCACCGCATAGAAAAATACTTTTTGGGGCAACAAAATGTGTTGGGAGAAAGAAGTATTTGACAGGAGCGGAAGGCGAGTGGCAGCTCTTCTGTGTCCTAGGCACACCTCCCTCCCCTGGAGAACCTGTCCTGTTTGTGGCCTGGGAAGACCAATGACTTCAAATGGTGCCACCAACAACCTGAATCAATAATTACCTAAGGCGGAGTCCTACACAGGACAAAGACAGGCAGCGTTTCCGGGAGGCCCTGGGATAAGGGGTCGCTTCTCCCAGCTGCGCATCTACATTTTTAAGGTTGTGATTTACTCTGAGGGAAGCTTTCCACGAGTAACTAAAATCCTAGGATCCCAGAGCTGCCTTCTTCTCTGGTTACCAGCTAAAGTAGAGTTCAAATAGATACTTCCAGATTTTTCTTTAAAAAAAAAAAAAAAAAAAAGACCATATTTCAGGTGGGAAAGAAAGGTTGGTGGCTCTGTGGGACTCAAAACCACCACCTTTGGAATGCCTGTGCCTTAGGGGAAGGCACCGAACCAAACCAAACCAACTTGCAGAATACCTGCTGACTGAAGACAGAAATTCCCCAGTGCTCTCTTCGTCATCAGGGAACCATCTTCCAATGGCCTTTCTTCACTTCTTCCTCTCCAAGCCCATGGCAAGGGCCAAATGGGAAAAAAGTGAAACTCTAAAAGACGAGCATGTCGTTTATCCCAAAGCCCAAAGAACAAAGGCTACGTGGGTACAGTGGATTTGCTCCAGAAGCCCAGGCCTCTGTCCTCGTGTTTCTGAAAACCATCCTTTCTGACAAGGAAAGAAAGTCTCAGCGCTTCGGATGAAGCTCTCTGTTAGGCCACCGCTGCCTCTCGCGCCTCCAACTGCCGGTGCAGGAAGATTCCAGGCCACTGGGCTTTACTGGCCCTCAATGCTCACTTGTCCAGCCCACAGCCTGACAAACTGGTCACTTCCACCCCACCTGCTTCAGCTGACTAGGGCAAGTAAGGCTGATGGGTGACCCTGATCAGCCCTCATTGGAGTATAGGGTTTCCTTCTCCAATGTCCTCAAAACGTGTGAACAAAGTTCTCAGGCCAAGTTCCCTCCAGTACCTCCCCAGTCAGTCTCAGACAAGTCCATGGAGCATCTCTCCTGCGCCCTTGAGGATTCTCCATCCACAGCGCCAGTTCTATAGGTGCTATCACCCAGCTAGGAAGGATTTTGAGAAGAGCAGTTCTGCCCTATGGGCTGTGGGCTCACATCTCCACTCACCACCCAGACAGCCCAGAAGGAAGGCTGTCTCCCTTTGTCGGGCTGAGGTCTGAAGAGTGCTGGGGCCCCGACATCCACCGCACTCCCGATGGTCAGGGCTGCTTGGGTGATCAGGCCCTGGGGATGTGCTCTGGGCCCCTGCTTTCCTCTGCGGGATGACTCCTGGCTGGCGCTCACAGCACACACCCAGAGATGCCCTGAGAACACTGAGGAGCACACAGGGGGCAGCACATGCCTCTGGAACCTTCAGTTCAGCCTTGTGTGGAGGGAGACGCCTTAATGAGTGAGCCCCTTTGGGAAGAGTCACTGCCACAGTGTAGCCGGCCTGAGAAGCCGTCCTGTAGAATTGGGTAAAGGGTCCATTTACACAGGAAACTGGAATGTTCCTAAAGACTGAAGAGGAAAACCCTATATTTATTTAGCTGGTGTCAGGCCAACTCTGCTTCTATTTGCAAATTCGTCTTTCCTCCTTCATTTTCTTCATCTTCTGTACTTAGGACTTGGGGCTTGGAGATGGAGGAGGAAGTGGCTAGAGGCTGGACTTTCCTCTTTGAAAGGTCTGACTTCAGGTCCCATGGCCACTGCTACACCGCGGCAGCCACACTCGGGCCGCTGCCTTGCTGGTGGTCACCCCGACACGCCTGGCCTCTGGGTAGGCAGATGCTTCACTCTGCAGCATGGATGGACTCAAACCCCCAGAAGCCAAATAGCCCTCCTGAAGTCCTTTCTTATTTTATAATTCTATCTACATTTTCTTTATCGTTTATAAAGCAGATGTTTTGGATGATATTTGTTTCCTTTTATTCATTTTGTACTGGGTTGAATATCATCCCCCATAATTTCATGTCCACCCAAAACCTCAGAATGTGACCTTATTTGGAAACAGGGTCATGTAGACATGATTAGCTAAGGTGAGGGCATATTAGATAGAGTGAACCCTAATTCCAATGACTGGTGTCCTCACCAGAAGGTCACGCAGAGACTCAGAGATGGACAGAAAGGGAGGCCATGTGGCCACGTAGGCAGAGACTGGCACGATGCAGCCACCAGCCAAGGACTGCGGCAACAGCAGGAGCTGGAAGAGGCAAGGAGGGTCTGTCCCCGGAGCCTGCAGAGGAAGGGTGGCCCTGCTGACGCTTTGACTTTGGACTTCTGACCTCCAGGGATGTGAGAGGGTAAATTCCTGTTGTTTCAAGACACCCAACTTGTGGTCCCTTGTTACAGCTGCCCCAGGAGGCTAATCTAATCCTTTCATTTTTGTTTTGTGTTACGTTTAGACTTATGAATATAAAACAAATACAATAAAAAAATGATCTAATCGATCTGCTCCTCAGTGTTCGGCTTACTTTTTGCAGTTATGACTACTTACAGCATGCTTGGCTTCCACCAATACAAAAAATCCCACGTTTCTAGCAAGAAAGCAGGTCTCAGCAACGACAGCCCCAGATGGGGGCGCCCCTCTGAGCCTCCTCAGAGGTGTTTTCGAAGACCACGTGTTCTCAGGTGGACGGCAGCCTGCTTAGGGTGAGAGGCTTCCTGCAAAATATCTGTCACCTTGTTTGAGTGCTATTACCTCAATCATATGCAAATAAGGAATAAAGAAACGCTTTTGAGAATTACTGAGTGATATTTGGTGCAGAAATGAGTCTAAAGACATCCTCACTTCAGAAACAAGGAAACCAGACAGAGAAGCGATGCCATGTCCTGTTCAGAGTATCCTGTCAGGAGGCGCAGGACGGCAGTGACACCGACGTTGGTCCTTGGTTAAAGTGCTGTCTGCCTCATCGTTCCTCAGTGAAACGACTACGTTTCCCTCTAAGTAATGAATATGGAATTTCTGGAAACCTGCTCTGAGATGATGCAGATATCCTGTTCCTCAAGCTGCTGCCCCACGGAGTGCATCCACTGGCGTTCTGTCCCTGCGCTGCGCACCCTGCAGTGGCTCCACATCCCCGCTCCACCTAGCAGCCAGTGTCCACTGTACAGAGAGCGTGCATTTCTCCTACTTATTCAGTTACATCAGTAGGACTCACCAGAGTCTTATGCTATTCAATGGGCTATCATTCACAATGAGTCTCATTTATTGTAAATCTCAGATTGTCCTAGATTTGACAAGTCAGAGTACCTTTGTAAGCACTTCCTTATTTTCTGGCACAAGATGTTCCTGGCTCATCTTTTCCTTGCCCTGCCCCAGTCCTGGCATTGGCCAGGTCTCTGAGGACTCCTGACTCCTTTTAGTGGGAGATGCCATGCAGAAACCAAGATCCCAGACCAAAGTGTGCTCACTTTAGTGCTATTAATGTCCCCAGGACCTCCCAGCAGGGTGCATTTTACACACACACACGCATTCACACACACATGCACACACACACCCTTCTCTATTTCTATATCGACCGTCACCAGTTTATCCCGAGACCTTTCATTCCAATCCAGCCCCACTCAGTTCCTTCCAGTTCCCCTCCCTCTTCCCATGTCTGTAACTCCTTCTCCAGTAAAGAGAAAGCTGCCTCATTTCTATGGGATTTCTGTAAAAAACACATAATCTGAATCTAATCATGAGGATGAGGAAATGACAAAGTCAAAATGTGGCACATTCTATAAAATAAATGGCTTGAACTCTTGAAACATAACAAGGCCATTGTCTCAGAAGGAGGAAAAAAAGTCAAGGTCAGAAAAGATGAAAAAAGGCTGAGGAACAGTGCCAGATGAAGAGACTAGACCCATAGGATAATTAAATGCAGTGTATGAACCTGACTAGATCCTGAACAGAAGAAGAAATGCTATCACAGATATTTGACGATATTTGATATCATTTTTAACATGGACCGTGGATTAGATAACAGTATCTTATCAGTGTTAAATTTCCTGATTTTGATCTTTTTGCTGTGGTTTTGTGGTTTTATAAGAGAATGTCTTCTTTATAGGAAATACACACGGAAGTATTTACAAATAAAAGGGTATGATGTCTGCAACTTACTCTCACGTGGTTCAGAAAAGTGTGTGTGTACAAACATACATCTACACACATGCATACACACATACACACACACTGTGGAGGGGCAGGGAGAGAAGTAGATGAGGCTAAATGTTAATCTTTGACATACAGTGGTTCTACAGGAACTTCTTACAGATGTTAGTAAGTTACGTGAGTTTGAAATTATATCAAAATAAACTTACAAAATGAAGAAGCTAAACACTCACTAAATAAAACCAAATTGTTCAGGCACTTGTGGCTAGACTCACAGCAGACATGAAATGAGTCAAGAAGAGAAGCAATCTGGTTGAAGAACACAGATGCCCTCAAGTCAAACCTGAGACACCCTGTGGATGCTCCACCAACCAGCAGGGCTGAGAAGCTGCGCAGGGCTAGGGGCCGCCAGGAGGTTGGCGCGGAGGAGATGAATAGGCCCAGAATCCGCCGCTGTGGCATCAAAATCATTTGGAGCAGAAGGCATTTGCGTTCCTGAATTCTCTTAGCTACTGAAAAGCAGAGTTCCCCAAAAGAATTCAAAAGAATCCACCTGCTATAAATTCTGTCCCAAGAAGCAGCCAGGGAAGTTGGACTCTTACCACTGGAGATGAGAAGCCTCCACACTGCACTGAAACAGGAATGGTCACAAAACTATCACATCGCCCATCTGTTCTCTTGAGGGCCCACTTGTCTTTCCAAAAAGCCATTTGTTTGCCCACAAGTGCCCTTCTCCCACTCCCGTTCCCCTGTGAAGGACGGCGCATAAGCCCAGAATTCTAAATGCCCCTTTGAGGGACACTTTTCTATGACCTCTTGTACGTAAGTGGTGAAATCTGTCTTTTATCTTGCTAGTCTGTCTTTTGTCAGTTTAATTCCCAGTTCCCCCAAAACAGAACCTACGAGGGTAGAAGCAAAGTTTTTCCTCTCCCAGAAGAGTTCAGCAGGACAAGTTAGAGGCCAGGGAGGCCAGCTTCAGACTCTGGGCTTGTCAACTGTTTTCTTCAAGGAGAATGGAATTAATGAGGCCACCTAAGAGGAGGATTCTCACAATACGCAAGGGGAGGTGCTCTCTGAACAGAAAGCGGCACTCTGAGCTGCACCAGAACATTTTTCTCTCTGAAAGTTCTGCCCCAGCGAGGCCACTCATCTGAGCTCAGAGTTGTGTAACTTACATACAAGTTATGTGCTTATTTCACCACAGTCGTTTGCTAACCCTGCTGGTAGTCTGTGGTCACTTTTCTGTAGGGACCATGATTCTTCCAGAAACCACTGGAGACCACGCAGAAGCCCAAACACTATCTGACAATGCCAGTACCAAGGGCAAAGGACACCTCAGCGCTGTTCTGGGTCATGGCTTCCACTGCCAGTAAGCAATTCAACGGTTATGGGCAAGGTCAGTGATTCAAGTTTTATGTGTTTTATAATGAAACTGGGGTAACACAACTACCTGCACAGTAGCCCTCACTTATACACAGCTCCATGCCAAGGGTCTGCCCCGCCAGGACTCACCACTGATCCCTGGAGAACGAGATGATGAAGCGAATGCCAGCGGGGAGTTGAGCCATTTACGTTGCCACTGACCACACAGCCTCGGTCGCAGAATAAGACGCTTCATAAACGGGTCATTAATCCCGGCTCCAGGTTCCCTCTCTGCTGCCCCTGCTGCTCCCACAGGCTGGAAAGCGTGGAAAGAAGGTGTCCTGCTGGGTCTTGTCCCCTTCCTTCTGGCAGTGGCTCTGCTCTCTACGAGGAGGAGGACAGGCATTCAGAGTCCAGTGTCCTGACATTCACACATTCAGCATTACTGGCAGAAGTAACCACACACATGTACAGTAGCAGGACCCCGTCCTGATCAAAGCTGGACATCTGGTACAAGCAGGGGTCCCCACCACGAGTGTTACTAGGAAGAGGTGGAGTGAGGTGGAGTATCTGCCCTCGAGGCGGTTTGTTCTGAGAACCCTGAAATGAATTTCAAACAACGTTCTGATGGTGGATAAAAAGGAACCAAGAAACTCATCTCTATCTGGGAGGCATCTAGAGATCAACCCATTCACAAAACCAAACATGTGTCCAGCATCCACGCTATGTGCCCAGATACCAGGGCATGCCAGGGCACTGGACTGGCTCAGTTCCACCCCTGTGGGCCAGGTCACCTTTGAACCATAGTGACAGAGAAACGTCGGCCTAGACAAGAGGGCAGATCAAACCAATTATTTAATTGTGACTTTGCCATTTGAATCCAAAGGAGGAATGAATTTGCTTCTGTCTGCCTCTTCAATTTTCATCTTTTGTGGTCACCTCAGAAGTCATAGAAAATGACCTGATTATGAACTCAGGGCTGAAGGCAGAGCAATATAGGAAGGAATGGGGAAGGAGGCCTGAGAACTGAGAGGGGGCCCAGCACAGCAGGCAGGCCCGGTCTCCCATGCCAACATCAAACTCATGACATTCCTGAGTCACTGTGTCCTCCAAAGCCAATCAGTTCCCCACATTCACTTTTGCCTCCCTCGAGAGTGAGCTTCCAAAAATGCACATTCTCCAAGGATTTTCCCTTATACCACCTTTTACAAAAAGATTCAAAATCCCCGCTGAGCTTTCGTCCCAGGAGCCGCCCCTCATCTCTTCTGTCTGCTCCAGTCAGAACTACACCTTTCTCCTAGGTAGGTCCTCCAGGGCCTGAACAGGTGGGATTCACCCCACTTCAATACCTCCTGTTCCAAGGCTGACCCTGGGCTGTGTAAGCTGAGGCAAGTCACTTAACTTTTCTGCTCCCTCTCCTTCCAGGCTAAACAACGGGGATGATAGCATCTATGTTGTTATAAACGCGCAATGAGATAACCTATGGGAAGCACTTGATAAGTGGCCTGGTATGTAGTAAATGCCCAACAAACACTAGCTGATATTATCCTCACTGTAAATTCAAAAGAGGAAGGCCCAGGACTGCAGGGCAAGGTCCTACTTCCATCTCCTTGTCCAGAACCCAGCACAGACCACGTGCTCAAGAAACTCATGTTGAATGAACAGCCACAAAGACTTCAAAACTACGTCTGCTCAAACCTCTAGATTTAAGCAATCTTTTGCTCCAAATGGGTGGGCTCCAGTCTGGGTCTGGATCTACTCTGGGAAATGACTTTGTGATGACAGCTTCAGAGTAAAGAATTGGGTTCACCAGTGTCTGGAAACAGATGGTCAGAAGCAAACACCTTCCCCTCAAGTGCCGCTTCTCCATGTCCAGCGTGTCTGGAAACATTCCACTGCCATCTACGAAATAAATCAAAAACCTCCAACTCTGATAACACCTGTGACAACAACATCAAAGGCCCAGAAAGCACTGACAAGTCAAGAGGGAAAAAAAAACCTCTTTGATTTCTTTTTAAAACAAGGATGAATTCTTTTCCCTGTAAAATGGGTGAAAAAACAGTGCTATAAATTCTCATAGTGAGTGCAGTTAAGATGTGCAAAGACAGTGATTTTACATTTGGGATGTTAAAGAGCTCACCTAATGAGGCCCTTCCTCCCTAGCCTGTGCAGCACCACGGAAAACCACTTCATTTCCAGTGGGTCAAGACCTCTGGAAGCACGAACCATGACTGACACGCTCTCATTTGAGCCCCGTGACCACCCTGAAGAGGCAGGGCGTTCATTTCACAAGGGAGAAAAATGAGGCTAGGCGGCTCGCCTGGGTCAGCTGGATAAGTGGGGCAGATTCCAGTTTGTCCTGTTTCTCTGAGCCACCTCCTCCCTCCAGCCACTCTTCCTCCTGCCCATCCCCTGCAGAGAAAGGGCAGCAGAATGGGAACAAATCACTTGGTTTAAACCCAGTTTTTGGCACACAGCCCAAGTACATAAAAAGAAGAGATACTTTTTTTTTAAAAAGTCACTCTCTACAGGTGCCCCTGGAACTTACCATTCCAGGGAGGAAAAGCGGCAGAATGTCCAGTTTCATTGCACTGTCAAAGATAGCAACTTAGGCTGGGCACGGTGGCTCACGCCTGCAATCCCAGCACTTTGGGAGGCAGAGGCAGGCAGATCACTTGAGGCCAGGAGTTCGAGACCAGCGTGGCCAACATGGCGAAACCCCGTATCTACCAAAAATACACAAATGAGCTGGGCATGGTGGTGCAAACCTGTAATCCCAGCTACTCGGGTGGCTGAGGCATGAAAATCACTTGAACCCAGGAGGCGCAGGTTGCAGTGAGCTGAGATTGCACCACCACACTCCAGCCTGGGCAACACAGCGAGACCCTGTCTTAAAAAAATAAAAAAGATAGTAACTGAGGAAACAGCCCACTAGAGCACCTTTATTACAACCTGTAAAACCTGTACATGTACCCCTGAAACTGAAAGTTAAAAAAAAAAAAGAAAAAACCCTGAAAGACACATGGTTTTATACCCATCTCTTGAAAAAACAAACCCACCCTAGGCAACTGTAAAACAGAATGAGCTGAGGGAAAGATACATTCACAAGCTCCACTCCCAGACCTACCCACTTGAGATCTGTGCTGCCTAGAAGGTTCCAAGTAATCTGAAGAGGCTCAAATAATGGGGATAGGAAGTGAGCAATAGCAGGAGTAAGGTTCAACAGTCTTTTTAGGGCTGAGGTGCCATTACACGTAATCAAAGTGGCCCTATAGCTACTTTAAATAATCTACTTCGTGACTTTTTTTTTTAAAACTGGGTCTCACTTTACAGGCAAAGATGGGTGAGAAATGCAAAACAAAAGTTTTCATGCATTTTTCTTTTACTTTTTTTAAATTAAGAGATAGAATACAACTTCCTGTCCAGAGTGTGCTCTTTCTATGGCTTTTTGCTTTTAAAGGCGCTTTCCATATTAAAGATGAATGAAATGGTCACTATCTTTCCCCTTGGCTGAAGTACAAGGAACCTGAATTCCATTTGCACCACCTGCCCCCAACCCCCAACAAACAGACCATCACAGGTGGGCTGCATGAAACAGAACGTGTAAATGCAGTTTCAAAATGACTTGGTGAATTACAGGTCTGGAGCCAGAGGTTTTCAAGCTTGCTCTAAAAGGGGATTAATAAAGAAACACCGGGGGGGGAGTCTAAAATATGTATTCACTTACACAACTTCAGACAATTTAAGTTCAAAGGCCGGCAGGCAGGCAGGCACCTTCCAGGCAAAAAGCTAAGGGAGACCAGGAAAGCGCAGGTTTTAGCAATTCCTCCTTTGGAGATTCAAAACTGGGGCCGCGGGCTGGGGTGTTGGCGGGGAGTGGGAGTGGTAAGGGGCTTGGCCAGTACCCTTCGTTCAAATGCAAATCCTTAGACTGTACGTACCTTCTCGGTCACCAGGATCGCAGCGTGGGCCGTAAGGGCTGGAAGGCAGGTGGCCAGCGGCTAGGGGACTTTGCGGCGCGTCAAGCCCTTTATTATAAACCCAGAAGGTCGCTGTCACTCGCATTGGCCAGGAGGCCCACGGGCTCCGGGAACCAGCTGCTCAGCCGACAGACAACGCAAAGGCCCAGGGTGCCGGCGCTCCGAGCCAGCGTTCTGTGCCGGCTCCTCCCTGGGCGGCTGGTCCCCGGAGGAGGTGAATTCCGCGGGCACGCCCACGTCCCCATCGCGGCAGACAATGCGCAGGGTCCCCTCCTGCCGGCTCTCTGGACCCTCAGCTGTCACCGCGGCCCGGGCCGGGGTGGGCAGGGGACCCGGCAGGACAGCTAAGCTCGCCCCTGCCGGGGACTCCGTGGGGCGGCTACTGGCCCCGTGCCCGCTCCCTCTGCCTCCACTTCCCCGGAATCCCAGCGTTGCCCCGGTCCGGGAACGCCCGGCATTGTCGCCTAGGGCTACTCTTCTAGATGTCGTATTTCAAAGACTTCCCTCCGCGAAAACAGCTTGAGACCGTCCCCAGCTCTCCGAAAACATCCAAACCAGCCCCGACTTACCCCCCAAAAAAAGAAAAGGAAGGAGGAAAGGAGCCGAGCTCCGAGTGCGCAGGGCCCCGCGCCCGGCTCCCTGCGGCAGCCGCAGGTGCTGAG